TGACAAGGAAGCTTCAACTCCATTGAAAATTAGGAAAAAAGTTAAAGGGAAGGAGAACTCAAGAGCTGTTAGTAATGGAGGTAATAGGACCCAAAAAGAAGGTGCAAAAACTGGCATAAGGGCACTTTATCTGAATGCTCGGAGTATTCGAAACAAGGTAGATGAGTTGACGGTGCAAATCATGGCATATGGGTACGATTTAGTGGCCATTACAGAGACATGGTTACAGAACGGTCATGATTGGGAGTTAAGTATCCAGGGGTATCAAACTGTTCGGAAGGACAGACAGGAAGATAAGGGAGGTGGTGTTGCTCTGGTTTTTAAGGATGATATCAGGGCGGTAGTGAGAGATGATACAGGTTCTACTGAACAAAACGTTGGATCCATTTGGGTGGAAATTAGGAATAGCAGGGAGAAGAAGTCACTGATAGGTGTGGTCTGTAGGCCACCAAATAATGGCATTGTGGTGGGGCAGGCAATAAACATAGAAATAGCTAATCCATGTAATAATGGTACAGCAATTATCATGGGGGATTTTAATCTACATATCGATTGGTCAAACCAGGTCGGTCATGGCAGCCTTGAGGAGGGGTTCATAGAATGCATCCGCGATAATTTCCTTGAACAATATGTAATGGAATCTACGAGGGAACAAGCTATCCTAGATCTAGTCCTGTGTAATGAGACAGGAATAATTAATGATCTCAACAGTTAGGGATCCTCTCGGAAGGAGCGATCACAGTATGGTCGAATTTAAAATACAGATGGAGCGTGAGAAGGTTAAATCCGGTACCTATGTCCTGTGCTTAAACAAAGGAGTTAGCTGAGGTAGAATGGGAGCAAAAACTTTATGGTGGGTCAATTGATGAACAGTGGAGGACTTTCAAAACAATTTTTCACAGTACTCAGCAGAAGTATATTCCAGTGATAAGGAAGAACTGTAGGAAAAGAGAGAGCCAGCCATGGATGTCTAAGGAAATAAAGGAAAGTATCAGATTGAAAAAAAACACATACAAAAAAGCAAAGAGTAGTGGGAAACTAGTAGACTGGGAAATCTTTAAAGGCCAACAGAAAGCTACAAAAAAAGTTATAAAGAAAAGTAAGATAGATTATGGGAGTAAACTAGCTCAGAATATAAAAACAGGCAGCAAAAGTTTCTATAAATATGTAAATCATAAAAGAGTGGCGAAGGTAAACATTGGTCCTTTAGAGGATGAGAAGGCCAATTTAATAACTGGGAATGAGGAAATAGCTGAGACATTAAACAGTTATTTCGTGTCGGTCTTCACAGTGGAAGACACAAATAACATGCCGAAAACTAATGGCAAGAAGGTTATAGCAGGTGAGGACCTAGAAACTATCATTATCACTAAGGAGGCAGTGCTGGGCATGCTAATGAGGCTAAAGGTAGACAAGTCTCCTGGCCCTGATGAAATGCATCCCAGGGTACTAAAAGAGGTGATGGGGGAAATAGCAAATGCACTAGTAATTATTTACCAAAATTCACTGGACTCTGGGGTGGTTCCTGCAGATTGGATAACAGCCAATGTGATGCCACTGTTTAAAAAAGGAAGTAGACAAAAAGCAGATAACTATAGGCCAGTTAGCTTAACTTCGGTAGTGGGGAAAATGCTTGAATCTATCATTAAGGAAGAACTAGCAAGACATCTGGTTATGAATTGTCCCATTGGGAACACCCAGCATGGGTTCATGAAGGGTAGGTTTAACTAATTTGGCAGAATTCTTTGAGGACATTACTTGCATGGGGGACAATGGGTAACCTGTGGATTTGGTGTATCTGGATTTCCAGAAGACATTTGACAAGGTGCCACACCAAACGCTGCTACATAAGATAAAGTTGCACGGTATTACAGATAATGTATTGGCATGGATAGAGGATTGGTTGACCAGTAGAAAGCAAAGAGTAGGGGTAAATAGGTGTTTTTCTGGTTGGCAGTCAGTGGCTAGTGGTGTGCTTCAGGGATCAGTGTTGGGACCGCAATTGTTTATAATTTACATAGATGATTTGGAGTTGGGGACTAAGTGTGGTGTGTCAAAATTTGCAGATGACACTAAGATGACTGGTAGAGCAAAGTGTGCAGAAGACACTGAAAGTCTGCAGAGAGATATAGATAGTCTGAGTGAGTGGGCAAAGGTCTGGCAGATGGAGTACAATGTTGATAAGTGTGAAGTGATCCATTTTGGTAGGAATAACAGCAAAGTGGACTATGTTTTAAATGGTAAAAAATTGCAGCACGCTACTGTGCAGAGGGACTTGGGTGTCCTTGTGCATGAATCGCTGAAGGTGGGATTGCAGGTGCAGCAGGTGATTAAAAAGGATTAAACAGGACTGATGAGATGAGCACTAAGATCCAGCTGGAAAGAGGCAAGGTCAGGTTCTATTTGCAAAGAATCATGTCTCAACAGGTCTGAACATCTGTAGTTGAAAAGAGTCAGGTTAGCATAAATGTTGCTGCTGATATCTGTTGTCTGGAGCAAGAAAAATGGAAGGAGTGGGTATGTGTTGCCAATAGCTGACATTTCTGCACTGGGTCACTGTCTCTCACTGAGTTCTACAATGAGAAAAAACAGAAAGACATGATCACTGTTAATTACTTATATGGATAGAAGGAAAGCATATTGTGAAGAATTGCTGTAATGAATGGATGCAAGAGGGCAATAGGCTAAGGGTGGATATGACTGATGTCTGTTCAGTTGAGGATATGAGATGCTTTCAGAAAAAGGAATGAGTGAAGTTGCAAGGTGTGTTAACCTGAGAAGCTCTATGCAAGAGAATGCTGGGCAGTTGAGAGTGTGGAGTTTGACACCTGAAAGTATTGGGTCACTTGTCTTTCCCAACCTTTACCAACAGTCCTCAATCCTTATAATGCCCAGTCTCCAAGTTAGAAAGGTGACACTGTCGCTTCTGTCTTCCTTAAACACTTCTATCCATGTTTGATTTTTGGAGAGGTCTTCTTCCTTCTGTCCTTTATACTTCACTTCACTGTAGCCCCATTGATCTCATAGCAGATATTCAAAGTAAGAATGAAAGACCCATTGAAGGTCTTGAATCCTACCGTTACTGCAGCCTGAAAAATTCAAGTGCTGGTGAGTTCTTGTAACTGATGCTCTGGGCTCCATAATTAGAAGTCCTTCTTCTGACAGAATGGACACATCATTGTACCTATCCTTAATTCCAGAGGCTAGATTCTAATTCTGTGACTGAGTTAAATACATGGGATTTCATGCAAATTAATTAGGTTCCTAACCTGAAAGTTATTGCTTCTTTCCGGCAGGGATTAAGTCCAAAGGTTTCTATATAGTGAATGGTAAAAATCATGAAAGATGAAATCCAATGTGAGAAAGGTTGAGGTTATCCATTTTGAATATAACAAATACAGATAACATATTCTCTTATTGTTGGAGACCATAAAATATGGAGGTATAAAGAGTTTTAAGTTTCTAAAAATTGCTAAAATGGCTATTGCATGTGGGAAAACAAACAATCAAAAGGGCAAAGGAAATATTGGCTTTATTTCAAGATGATTAAACTACAAAAGTGAAGATGTGATGTTTCAATTATACAGATCTTTTGGTAGACAGTTCCAGTTTTAGGTTCTTGCATCTCAGGGAATGTATATTTGCTTGTCCAGTACTCTGAGCAGGTTCTCGAGGACGATACTAGAACTTAAATGGTTAAGTTATGAGGACAGATGTCATTGTCTTGGTTTATGACCATTGAGTTTAGAATGTTAAAGCATGACCTTATCAATCCCTTTCCAATGATAAAGCTGTTGATAGGTGTGACGGAAAAAGATATTTTATTCTGCTGGGAACCCATAAAAGAAGAGGATGTGATGGTACTGGGCCTTTAAGAGAGATTTCTTCTGGGCTGTACCTCTTGAAGAGGGATGTTGACACCATGGTACCAACATGTCTGCTTCAGAAGCGACAAGTAACCAGCTTTGAGCTCCTTGAGTGTTTTTGTAAAATTAGATATAAGAAGCATGAGTGGGTGGAGTCAGGATCACACAGACCCAGGGATTTAGTCATGCTTTCATTTGGGGTTTTGGGAGTTGAAGCTGATAGTTACAGTCTCTGTCTGCTGCAGCAAAAAGCTTGAGTTCTTTCTGTACTGCTAGATTGTTTCTTTCAGTGTTCCTTACTCCTGGACTGGAAACAGCACATGAGGAAAATCCATTTTGCTGAATTTGCCTTTGCCAAGGGTGTCTTTATGGAATGCTTTGTATGGAACAGTTGATGATTAGTAGTTCAATTATATAATATTTTATTGGGTAATTCAGTAGAGTTGAAGTTATGCCAATTCTTTTGTTGTATGTATTTTAACTGCATTGTAAGAATAAATTGTGTTTTGATTACTTGAGGACCAAACGAATCACATCTTACACTTGCCTTTGAATAAGATAAAATGTTAAGGCCTAGGCTATCTCCTTAATATATTTTGAAGGATTTAGTCTGGTCCGTAACAAGAGCTTATCCATTTAGAAGTGAAGGACAAAGAAGCACTTTTGACACAAACTGTATTTGAAATTTATGAATTCTCCCCAGTGGATTATACATCCTGGGTTAATTGGAATTTTTCAAGACCGAGATTGATAAATCTTTATTGAGTAAATGTGTATCGGGAATTATCTAAATTAAGTTAAGCTGTAGATGAGTTATGATTTAGAAGAATAGGAGCTTGTTTAATAGAATGATGGAGCAGGTTCAAAGGACTGAAAATCTGCTCCTGTTCATGTATACCTACATTCGCCCAATTTGGATTTGTCTATAAATTGTTTCATAATATTGGCATTCATCTAAAGTTTTGTTGATGACTGGGGATGGTAATTTAATGAAACATCACTAATGTCGCGAGATGTGTGAGATAAAAATACATTAATTATTTCAACTTTGTCCCATCTCTGGCACATATTAATGGCCCCAGCTTGACGTTTTATGTATTTGTAATAGAGTTTTCACTTTTCTGTTTTCTCTAGATTCTTACAGGTGAAGACTGGAATTCAGTGATGTATGATGGCATAAGGGCATATGGAGGCCCATCATTCCCAGGAATGCTGGTTTGTATTTACTTCATCATCCTCTTCATCTGTGGGAACTGTATCTTTTTGCTGTGAAGAACACTTCGGAGTCAGATAGTGATAGAATTTAAAGAAGGCAGCTGGTAGAATTGCATAAGCTTACCAGCTTTGTTAGACTAAGCACTGAAGATACCGGTAAGGTCAGTGGCAACTGGGATTCCAAAACTGCCAGGATTTTGAGATTATTATCTTTAATTACAAAACTGTGCGTTGCAAGGCACTTTGTTTCCGCAGAATCATTTGGAGGGGTTTGGATTGAAAAACTGATCAAATTATTGATAATATTTTATGTTAATATCACAAAATTATCTATATTTTCAACATATTACAAGTTACTTTAATGTTATATAATGAAATAACATATGAAATTATTCCTTTTTTCAATTCAAATCATATGGTCATAGGTAATTTGTCTTGTTAAATACTGCACTTGCCTTGACTCAGCCTGCAAACAGATATACTATTAAATGTATTCTTGGCCATCGCTGTTGACAACCTGGCTGATGCTGAAAGTTTGACTTCTGCCCAGAAGGAGGAGGAAGAAGAAAAAGAGCGCAGAAAGCTAGCAAGGTAATGATCTCAGAATTATTTCAGACCATATATGATTTTGTAGCGTCTCTTTTAAACCATTTTTAAAATCTAACATCTTTTAATTGCTTAATCTTTAATTGCAACTGAATCTAAGGCCCTCAGTGTTTTGTTCACAATGTTAGTAAAGTAGGCTGTCAAGTTACGTTCCATGCAGCCACTGCTCAGAGGATCCCAACATGCCAGTCACCTTACCAATACTGTTCGGAGAAATGACTTCTGGTTTTGGTAGTTTCTGCAGCTTACATACCTTGTTAAGACGAAGTGAGGAGGAGAGATCAGCTCCTTTTGTCTTTTTATCTCTCTCTGCCAGACACAATGAATATTTTAATTACTTTTTTAACACACTTCAATCAAGTTAAAGGACCAAGTTAGAGGCCCAGACCTACCAAACAGAATCCCTATGGCAAGGCCTAAATGACATTACGGGATACAAAATGAAACAGTGTAAGATAGCAAACAATGACACATCCCTCCCTGACATGCTCAATGCTTTCTATGCTCGGTTTGAGCAGAATACCACTGGCGTGGCAATGCCAGCCCCAACAGCCCCAGACCTACCTGTTCCCTCTGTCACCACTTCAGAAGTCAGATCAGTCTTCCTGGGAGTCAATCCACGGAAAGCAACGGGCCTGGATGTTGTCCTCAGCTGAACACTCAAATCCTGTGCAGACCAACTGGCTGAGGTATTCACCAACATCTTCAACCTCTCCCTACTACGAAGTCCCCACCTTCTTCAAGAAGACCACCATCGTCCCCGTAACCAAGAAAACACATGCAGTGTGTCTTTATGACAACCACCCAATACCTCTGACTTCAATAATTATGAAGTGCTTCGAGAGGCTGGTCATGGCCCATATCAATGCCAGTGTCCCAACCTTTCTCGATCCCCTACAGTTTGCCTACTGACATAACAGATCCACAAAGGATGCCATATCCCCACCCCTGCACTCATCCCTGAAACAACTGGACAATAAAGACACCTACATCAGACTCCTGCTTGTTGACTACAGATCCACCTTCAATACCATTATCCCCTCCAGACTGGTCTCAAAACTACATGACATTGGTCTCAGCTCCGCCGTCTGCAATTGGATCCTCAGCTTTCTGACCCATAGGCTGCAATCAGTGAGGATAGGTAACTGCATCTCCTCCACAATAACACTCAACACTGGAGCCCCCCAAGGATGCATCCTCAGCCCCCTACTGTACTCCCTATACACCTATGACTGTGTTGCCAAATTCCAAATGAAAGCCATCTGCAAGTTCGCTGAGGACACCACCATAGAGGGATGGATATCTAACAACAACGAGTCAAAATACAGAAGGGAGATAGAGGGCTTGGTGACATGATGCAGTGAAAACAATCTGTCTCCACAGAGCACATTACTCTATCAAAGAACTCTAATAAACCAGTTAAATGTGATTCCCTTTTTATAAAACCATACTGAACTCCTCACAATTCATTTGAGTTTTTCTCAGTGCTCAGCTAGAACTTCCTTAATGACCAATTCTAACACCTTTTCAATGGCAGACATTAAGTTTATGATTATGCTTAAGCCTATGGTTTACTGTTTTCTGCCGCCTTCTCTTGTGTAGAGGAGTTATATTTCCTACTTTCATTGTGATGAAATGTTTCCAGAATATTGCAAATTTTGAGAAATTAATATCAACATATCGACTACCTGATTAGACATCTCTTTTAAGACTCTTACATGAAGTCTGAACTTGTCAGCCTGTAACTTTTTTATTTTGTTCAGTGCTGCATCCATAATGATTCACTAAGTTCCTCTTTTCCTTCTATCTCTAGATTTACAGCTATTAAAAGAATGTTTTTTGGTTCCCTTTATAATGAAGACTGGTGTAAAATATTTATTCATTTCATCCATCATTTCTTATTTTCTCCTTTTAACTTCCATTCTCACTCTCTGTAGGTCTTACACTTTCTCTTTCTTCTAAAATTCTTTAGAAACTCTTATTATTTGTTTTTCCATTTCTACCCAGTTTCGTCCTTTTCTAATTTATCTCTCCTGATTAATCTTTTAATTTTTCTCTGCCTTTCTGTCCAGTCACGTGTCACTCATCTTAGAGTTTTTCTTAACTGTAGGAATGTTCTTATTCTAAATATTCTGAAATATCCCCTTAAAAATCTGTGGCTGCTTCTCTACTCATCCATCCCTTAGGCACATATCATAGTTCACGATAGGTAGCTCAACATAGTGGTCTTTACTTAATTTTAAAATACAGCAACCTTTGTTTTAATCAGAACAATCAGCTGGCACTCTTGATAAACCGGCAAAAATTATACACCTTAAATGCTGCAATCTACCACAATGTCCAAATAATTATGCTGTAAATAAGGTGTAACAATGAAATGTATATCCCCTACGTTCTATTATTTACTGTGTGTTTTTAACATTGATTTTAGGAGGTTTGTTGATGTTTTTCCATAGCTTTTTCGAGGGATGTTGATGTCTCAAAGCCTTGCTTGTTTAAGGTTTACTGCAGTTATGTGTACCTCTTGATTATCTAGAATATTTGATTAACTGGCATACTCCTGCTCCCACCCTTCCAAAATGAATGTAAAATTCAATCATATCATAATCTTTGCTCTGAGTTAATCTTGTCACATTACACAGTACCATGTCTTCATTACTGTCTCTAGTTCCAGAATGTGTTGCTCTTAGAAACCATTATGAACGCATTCTATGAACTCTTAAGCCAGTAAGCCAATTTGATTTTTCCAGTTTATATGCCATTAAAATCATCCATAAATCATTGCAGTCCTTTACCACAAGCAACTAATATTAATTTTTGTACATTTGTCCCACATTGAGGTTAATATTAGGAAACCTGCAGTTCATGCCTGCTGGTGACTTCTTTCCCTTGCTATTCCTAATCTCCACACAAACTGATTCTACATCCTGATTTCCTGACCTAAGATCATCTCTCACTATAATACCAACACCATCCTTGACTAACACTGCATCCATCCACCTTTAACAAGATTCTTATTCCTGTTGAATGTCATATTCCTCTCAATGTTCAGGACCCAAGCCTTGTCATCATGCAGCCATGTCACTGTAACGGTTATCAGATCATGCTTAATTATGTTGATGTTATGAATGCTACGTCTATTTTGTGCCTGTCTTATGAAACCATCTATGCAGAACCGTTTTCCTTGCCCTGCCTAGGCAGTGGTACTTACATGAATGGCAACAACTGGATCCTTCCCTTACTCCAAGTTCCTTTCCAGCAATGCACAGATGGCTCAAACCCAGGCATTGGGTAGGCAACATAGCCTTCAGGACTTGTGCTCTTTGATGAGCAGAACAATATCTATCCCTCTTATTATACTAACTCCTACTACCACTACATTCCTTCCTCCTTTCCTATTTGAATGGTGTCCTGTACCACAGTCCAATGATCAATTACTTTATCCATCCTGTAGCCTCAGTGGGAAGAAGTCAAATTTGTTGTATAATTTCTGAGCCTGCATCTGATTCTCATGCACTCCTGCCCTCTGGGTTCTCTAGCCTGCCTCAATCACAGTCACGCCTTCCTTTCACTAATCACCAAACAAGTCAGAGGACCCTATCCTAAAATGTATGACCATCTCCCGTTAGAAAATAATTACGTAATTTTCCCCGTCCCTCATATGTCACAGTGTACAATGTACAGTGTACTACAGTGTCTGTGGTTCGGTGTACAACTCATAGACTCATAAGTTGATTCTGTTTGAGCTGTAAAAATATTACTGCAGACATGATCGCACTGGCATTCATGATCCCCCACCCCGCCATGCTGCAATCATGATACATTACCTGTTTTGCCATCCTAATATGTATTTTAAATCTATTCTTTTAATAATTTATGCAATAATTTGTTTCTTGTTTTGTATATATTTCATTAAGCCTGCCACAAGTCTTTTACTATTTTAAACCTTAGAATTAGATTAGACATTAACAACTTACCAAATTCTCACTAAACAGATTGTGTTTTTTACTCTGTCCTAAATAGCTACTTCTTTTAAAAATAATATGTTTATTATTTTCAGCAATTTAAAAATGCTCCCTAACAGAACTTTCTCACCTATCATTGAACTGACAGTTCTCCTCTCGTGTCACTATGCTCTTTGTTCAGCATCTGCCCTCTCATGCAAATTTTCAGCTCCTAGTCTCCTGGAGGTAAAACAAAGATAGGAAAAGAAAAAGAAGACAGCATCTTCCTCCCTGCCTCTCTGAACTCCCTTACTCACTAAATTTAAAGTAATTTCAGATAACAAGAGCTGGATGAACACAGCAGGCCAAGCAGCATCATAGGGACAGGAAAGCTGACATTTTGGGCCTAGACCCTCATTCTGTTTCACTGCACACTTTGTCAACAGGACTTAATGCATCTTATTTATACTATTGACATTCAGATGAATCTACTGTCTGACAGATTAGACCAGTTAGTTAATCACCTGATCTTACCTTCTATCCAGCAAAGAGCTTGATTTGTCCAGCACAGAAGAAGCCTAAAACGAAAAAAAGTCTTTTTTTGGAAAGTAAAAGCAAGTCAAATGCTAATTGCAAGCAAATAACACTAGGTTCTATAGAAAGACTAATATTTCAAAACAAAAACTCCCTTAATCACCAAACTCTGTAGTAATTTCACTTTTTTGACAGTGCTTCTCACTTTACTGTAGGGGTCATAATTATCAACCATGCAGTTTGAGACTGGAATAAAGCTTGCTAAGACTGGGTAGCCAGTAGTAGGTTCCTTTCCCAGAAAGATTCTAATATACTGGTCAGATTCTTTCAACAAAATAATGTAACCGTTTTTGTCAGTGATTTTCCTGTTGCCATCCCACAAATCACTAGATTTATTGAATTCAATTGCACAGCTAACCCGTTTTTCAAGCTAAAAAAATGAATGGTCCAATATCATGTGCAGTATTTGTACGCACGTTCTACGTGAATCATTATCATATAATCACCCGGCCCATTGAACTTAAACTGAAGTTATGCTCATTGTCCAAACAAAAATAAAAAAGGTTAGGGATATCTTTGTGGGGTGTTCAGTGCCATATGTTTTGGTTGTCTTTTATTGTCTGTTTCTTTAATATTTCATCTTATTTGTGACAAGTTTCTCTCAAGACTTTGAATAGAGTATGAGAAACCTCTTGTTTTTGGTGGTATTTAAGATTTTTTGAAATCAAATGATGACCAATTAGTTTCAGCCAGGCATTAAATAGGAAAGATTATATTGGTCAAAGAGTGGAGAAAATCTAGATTTAGAGGCAACAGAATTGTATTTCCCTCATCCTAAAGCTCAGATCTGAAATATATTGGTAAAATCTTGGATGATGATACCCTTTTATCTTTTGATTCAAGTTTAACAAAGCTTAGAATAAGAAAAGTCTTTTCTTTATTCCAAAAATATTTTCATGAACAAATTATCTAAGTACTTACAAAAGGTCCAAAAACAGTTCTGTACAGACTTTGCAGAGAGAAAAAGATACATTGGAATTTGACATTTCTCATAGCCTCCAGGTAGTTGCCAAAAAATAGTTTACTCATGCAAGGAAACGATTTACATTTTTTTAAGGCAGTGAGGAGGTCTTGAATCTTATCAGACTATTGTTATACTTTGGCAGAAATACCTTAGGCTGAGGTCTTTCCCCACTGTGCCTTGGTGGCTGCTGCCCTGAACTTTAGTGCGCCCCTCAACACATAATCCTGGACCTCGAATGTGGTAGGCTGCAACACTTGGTCAAGGTCAACTCTTCATATTGGAAGACAAACAAGTCGATCCTGTCAGGTGGTTCCCTGAACACTGTCAAAGTCATTTGGCAGAATGTCTCATCATGAGAACTTTCCAACAAGCATTAAGACGTAGCTTGGCTGGTGAAGAGAATGCCACTACCCACCGGATCCTTCATGTATGCCTGGACTCTCTGCCACTGCATGCTGCTCTCAAAGCGGCTTCAGTGGGGACAAGACTGTCACATATCTCCTTCTGGATTGTGCCATTGCAAAGAATGTCTGGAGAGAGATGTGGTGGTACTTGTCAAGGTTCAGTCCCCTGGCACAGGACTCTGTGTTCTACGGGCTGTTCCCTGAGACGCACACTAAGACAAACATCTGTGAGGACTCTGTAAATTTTGCAAAGACCGTACAAACCTGTATATCGAGATCAATACTGAGTCCATGTGCTCCTTCAACATTGCCTATTTTTCAACATACCACTGAAGGAAGCCATTGACATTTGCACTAAGTCATCGTATCATCACAATCTAAGTGTGACACTAGTCTCTGAATCTGTTTTCATCAACCTCAAGAACTTTGGAAGTTGTGCAGTTGAATTCAGTTTCAGTGGTGCCATATATGCCCAAATTGATGAGGTTGCTGTAGGATCTCCTGTAAGGCCAGCTCTTGCTCACAATTTAATCACTTATCATGAGAAAAGTGTGTTAAATTGAATGACCATTACCTCCTACTTCTTGTTCTTCCTAGACATAGATGACAAATTTGCAACATTTGAATCAGCAGCTGCAAAGAAGTTTTTACACAGTTTAATAAATTCCAGCCTGAGCTCAAAAATAATGATGAAATGGAGCAACGGAATTAGCTCCTGTTTCTTGATCTGATTATGGCTCCCTTGATCAAATCATCACTCAGTATATATTATACAAACTTTCGAAAAGGCATATAGCTACCACTTTGGTCCCTGAAAGGTGGCCAGACCACATCAAATTACCCTGGAAAGGGAAAGTGTCTCAAAAGATTGAACAATAGATGAAACAATTTGTCTTGTGCTATTACTTTGTGGAAAACGCACAAGTAACATTCTAAATGAATAGGACGCTGCTGTCCAGCCAAACAGGTGCTTTGCCTACCGAAAAACTAAGTAATGTAGTATATTAGTTGCAGTGATGCCATGTATATATAAGCCATATTTTCAAATGACCGGTGGACCGTATTAAACACCACAATAGTCATGCTGCACCAACTTGTGCTTGGAAACTTTCAAACACCATGTGCAACAATAGATGTGGTTGTGCTATTGGACAATATTTACTAAATAATCCTTACTGTACAAAGAATTACATTGGAAACCACTGTATGATTATTAGACTGAATTGCAGTGTGAGCCATTTGTGTGTGCTAGAAGCTCCACATGTTCATACACATGACCCTGTTCTTTTCAGGCAAAAGGAATTAGTGAACAGAAAGGACCTTTTTCACAAAGGAAAGAGTCATGGAGACTGCCAATGGCCTGACTAATCAGAGCCAAAGTACCTGATTGGGTTTAATCACTTGAATAAGATTGACATTTAACAGTTCTTGCTCCATCTTCACGCTAATCATGTCCAACTTATCAGCACCCTTGTCTTATTCTGTATAAATTGTTATTCCCTTTCTATGTTTGACTTCTTGTGTCCCAGTCCTGATGAATAAAAGACGAATAGCTTCAACTTTATGTCTCCTGTAAGCAACGATTATTTTAATATTGCTGGAAAATCACATTTTGTCAAAGCTTTTTAACTTGTTAACACCATGATAATTTGTAAGAAATAGCAAAGAGAAAGAAAAATAACATTTGAACTGTATGTAAAGACAGTGCTGATTAGTTGACATGTAGTGTGTGATTGGTAGCGGTGTTGTCATGGAAAAGACACCAGATAGTGATGACTGACAGTTAGTTGCCAAGCATTGTTTACATTTTAACTCAGACTGGTCGACCCTGATTGTCAAGGATACCCTGAGAAATGAACCAAAGAATGGCTCTCACCTAATTTACTGAGTTGAAACAGGTGCTGTCTGCAAATAAACGGCCTTGGTGTATGAATGTATGTGACTTGCAACACCACAACTGTGCCACACTGTGGGCTAAAATGATGATCCTAAATTGGTTATCAGCAAAATTATTTGCTCACTGGAGATTATTTAGAGAATGCTGTCTAATCACAAAATTGCATCTAATGTTAGATACTATATTGTGAGTTTTGCCAATAGATACATCAAATCCATCCTGTGGGATAATGGTTATCCTAATCAAATCATTTCTTGCTGTCTATCATTGCAAGTTCATGACTAGGCCTAAGTCTATTATTTTTGGTCCTACAAGTGCCCAGTCTAGCTGAGATTACCTGAAGATATCTGAAATTTGTGTGGAATAGATGAAGCGAGCTGTTTATGCTTCCACAATGCAGTAGTAACATGAGTGGTGTTCACCACTAACAGGATGCTGTCATTCAAGTAAAAAAAATGTGCCTATGTCACAGATTAGTCATGTGTCGTGTGAATTTCAATGCCAGTGTGATGTTCAACATGTAAAATGTACATTCTCAAAACTGCAGATTATATCAACCAGTCTCCAGTTATTTCATCTATTTGTGTTTACTCTCTAGTACTTACATATGTTTTGCATTGTACATGTCAAGTTTACACCCCTTGTTAACCTTTCTGCATGTTTTCTGTTTTTAAAAATCTATATGTTTTTAGGAACTCTAGCCCAGAAAAATCAACTGATAATGAAAAGCAACCAGTAGATGAGGAGAAGAAATTAGAGAAAATTGAACTGAAGACAATCACTGCAGATGGAGACATGCCTCCTGCTACAAAGGTTTGTTTACATATTTTCCTTCTTCGTTTAGACAAAATGCATGTTCTACAAGTATTACTTTGAAATCGAATCAATTATAATTTGAGTGATGTTATTTTCAGAATATTCAGAGTTGATATTCAAATTAAGTACTTAAACATTGGCCTAGATTTTCTGGTCAGCAGCGAAACAAACAGCATTGTTGCTGCTAATGAAGTGCTTCCTGCTCCGATAGTATTGCGCAGAAATAAAGCAGAAATGGACAGTGCAGCCACTTGAAGGTAAGTTTAGTGAGTGTATGCAACTCCGAGGAAGGAGAAAGAATGCTTCCTTTCGTACAGTGTGTAATTTGAGTAAGTCAGTTTTTTTGTTTGCTGTGTAAAAAAGATGTTTGGATTGAAATGTAATCATATGCAAATACCTTTCTGGTCTGTTACATTCATGAGACCGCTACAATGAGGCACAAACAATGCAGCCTACTATCTTACAAGCACTTCAATAAAGATATAGCATAGACTAGACTGCTGCCTTGTGAACACAGAATACAAATTTGTCTAGTTTCTGGATGGTTGGAAATGGGACATAAATTGGGAGGTATGCATTAACACCTGTTGAAGTCCTGACATCAAAATATATGTGGTAATTGCCCAAGAAATTTAAACTGCTGATGAGCTAATGCCCTAATGCCTGGAACACACTGCAAATAGAACTGAAGAAACATAGAAAATAGGATCAGGAGCAAGCTTTCAGCCTCTCAAGCCTGCTCCACCATTCAATATGATCATAGCTAATCCCACATTCTGCACATACCCTTTGATCCCTTTAGATCCAAGAACTATATCTGATTTCTTCTTGAAAGCATTGTCTTGGATCACAAAGTGTATCCAAACAGTTCTCTTCAGATTTGGTTAAATGTAGTTAAGAGAAGGCTTGACAACAGCAATTTGCTTAAAAATGAACATTTATTATGTAATAATAAAAGAGGAAAACAGAAAGGAACATTTATTAAGTAAATAAAAAGAATGTAAAAGAGAGAAGAAAAACAATAAGCCTCATGCCCTTTTGCCCTTTGGGGACCCCTCAATCAATGGCTGTCTGGAGGCTGAGGTTGTTCCTGGCACCACTCACGATCTCAGTCCAAGATGAAGTCCAATGCTCTTTCACCGTGTAACAAACAGCGAGGCACAGAAAAACATGTTGATTGTGCAGGCTTCAGCATGTTCACGAATGTTCACAGGACTCATTCAAGGTCATGCAGCTGTTGAATATCATCAACAAGTTTAACCCTTCAGCCCATCCTATACAATCCATCCCTGATGATATTTGACAGCACATGTTACAATTGCAGATTCAGACACAAATCAGCAACAGCTGTGCGAGAACGTGTAAGACTATGTAACCTACACTAGAAGATTAAAACTACAATGAAAATAACCATAAGCAATATGAACAAGGCAACAATAGGGTGTATCATCAATTTAATGATCGCAGTAGCCTTGGGGGGCCAACCCTTAAATCTATATCCCACCACTGATGTACAGTCAAGGTTTTGATGGAACCAGCAAGTCGTGCCACCAGACTGAGGGGACCAGAATATCATCTATATTATTAATAATAATATTATTATTATTAGTTAATCTATTTACATAATTTGCTGTAAAATTTAGGATATTCCAGATTCAGGTTCCTTAATTTGTGTTTTTTTAATCCTTCAGTTCCCAATCCATGGATCACTTCACCCAATAACAGTAAAATAACATTATACATGGGCTCAAAATTTCTCCAGCTTTCTTCATCTGTATCCGTCTTGAGGATACTTCTTCAATATATTTCCTCCCTTGTCAATTTTATGAATGATTGTATCATTGAATGGTAACTACCTCCATATGCAAGTACACCCTTTGAGCTACAATATACATGGGATCAAACAAGACAGCTTAGCGTTGATCAGGCTTTACCTTCAACTTATGCTTCGCGCTTTTTGTTTTTTCTGGGGTTCCTTTACCACAGACTCTTATACCACCTGAGTCTTAGCTCAGCTTCTTTCACATACACTAACTGTCCTAACACACATGCATTGTACAAACACTCAAGATGGGGTATCTGTATGTCATCTGATGGGCCCTTTCACTCAGTCCACTATTACTCCTCCCAGAGTCCATATTATTTTATTTCTGTAACATTTTGACATAATAGTCAATCACAGTTTTGTTTTGATTGTAATTCTTTTCACATCCCTTTCACGACTTTCATTGTTTTGAAGTCAGTTTCTATGTGAATTTTGTGTCAGTGTCTTATCACTTAAACTATGTTTTTGTGCTCTTCCAAGCCACACTAATCCTTTTATCAAGTGGGTATACATGTCTGAGACCCGTTCTTCAGTGCATGTTTTTGCGCCGTCTCATGTTTGTTACCTCGAGGTAACATTCACTTTTACATCGGTGTCCCAAGACCATGTCACACATCCTCGACTCTCACACGATCTTATCAAATGATCTATAAGGTTTTACGTATTTCTCTACATATGGTCCTGATGCCTTGGCTAGTGGCTTGATCACCAATTCAATCTTTCTTAAAAAGAAACATAAGGACACAAACATCACCAAGAGAAAACTATCAGTTTAGTACTCTCACCTAAACTTCCTTTACACTAAAATGCATTTTAACCTCAATTGCCGTCTCAACCCATTATTCTAATGTGTTTTTTCTTCTACCACCAGTGTCCACCCTTAATTACTTAATTTCATTCAATTTTACAACTTACCTATTCCCACCATATCTAATTCCAGAGATCTGTAGAGATTTGTAGTCCGTGGAACATAATCTTATAACATTTTAAAACAGAAGGCTAACATTTCTCTTTCATTCAGGCACAACACACTTTGTTTGTTCTTTCTGTAAGATGACCCACTTTTTTTTAAGTTACTTGACAATTCATGCTAGATAATTGATATATTTCTTTGTAAATATGTCCAAATTCAATATTCTGTTTACTCACTTAAAGTCACTAACCATTTTTGTATGCATGCATTTTATCATTTTCCAGATTCCCTTTAAATTTTCCGATAACTGTTCCATTTAAATGTTTTAGAATACTAGGGCATGTGAGTCTTAATATAGTTTTTGTCATGATATGCTTAAATGTACTCAGGCTCAGTGGTTTCAAGATTCTTGACACTCACTACAATTAATATATCCACAGTACTTCCCCAACACTGAAACGTGTTATTGATGAATGGCTTGATGGGTAGAGGGTGCCTCATTCGTCACTGTGTTGCGACGTTGAAATTCTGAAAACGCGTTCAGCCTTCATTATGTCTAATTTTAAAAAAAACAAGTTCCATCCATTCCACGTCAAGAAGAATGGGTTAATTAGTATTTAATCTACTACAGATTCAAAAAGGGGTTGGTCCATAAACTCCTGCATGTAATTATGTCATCCATCTCTTCTCCTTCTGCAAGGAAAATAAATGAATATGCTTTTAAGGAAAGAAAAGCCCACCCCTTTGTTAAATTTGCTTTCCTAAACTCTTTGCCCACAGGGGAGTTGCATTTTCAACATTGCAATTTCCCTATCGCTTTGATTTTATCAATGACTCAGTCTTATCATCCAGAATTAAAGATTCACTCATGTGTCAAAACAGTATTTAGAAGTTCACTCTGGCCAGAAAATGAAATTCAAAATGTAGTAATTTCTAGGATTAAAATCTACCCACGTCCAAATACAGCATGGAGCCAATTCCAAAAGGTAAATTTTTATCAAGCTTTACAAACCAAATTTTTGAATCAACATCTCGCAGATTTTTTTGCTTTACACAACAGCTGATAGTTTCTAAAAAAGCATTGCATTAACCATATATCTCCCATATTGATACAGGCATACAACACAATTTCATATCACCATATGTTCCCAAAATGAAAAGTAAAACTTCAAAGTATCCCCATATTTTGAGCTCCAAGGAACAAAGACACAAATTGTACAAGACAACACTTAACAACCAACAAACAAAGGTGCATTCAAACCAGACCATAAAGAGTTAACACTTCTGATCAATATGATCATAGCTGATCCCACTTTCGCACATACCCTTTGATCCCTTTAGACCTAAGAAGTATATCTGATTTCTTCTTGAAAGCATTTTCTTGGATCACAGAGTGTATCCAAGCAGTTCCTTTCGGATTTGGTTAAATGTAGTTAAGAGAAGGCTCGACAACAGCAATTTGCTTAAAAATAAACATTTATTAAGTAATAATAAAAGCCGAAAAAAGAAAGGAACATTTATTAAGTAAATAGAAAGAATGAAAAAGAGAAGGGAAAAAAAACAACAAGCCTCGCCTTCTGCCCGTCGGGGACCCCTCAATTAATGGCTGGTCTGGAGGCTGATGTTGTTCCTGGCACCATTCGCAATCCTGGTCTGAGGTGAAATCCAATTCTCAGAACGAAACTCTCTCTTATACAGTGTAGCGAACAGCAAGGCACAGAAAAACAACTACAAAAAAACACATTGATTGTGCTGGCTTCGGCACGTACATGAATGTTCACAGGATTCGTTCAAGGTCATGCAGCTGTCGAATACCATCAACAAGTTTAGCCCTTCAGCCCATCCTATACAAGCATCCAATGATTTGGTCTCAACTGCTTGCCATAGCAGAGAATTCCACAGGCTCACCACTCTGTGGGTGAAGGAATTTCTGCACATCTCAGTCCTAAATGGTCCACCCCATACTCTTAGATTGTGCCCACTGGTTCTGGATTTCTCGGTGATCGGGAACATCCTTTTTGCATATACCTTGTTGAGTCCTATTAGAGTTTTATAGGTTATTATGAGATACCCCCACATTCTTCTGAACTCCAGTGAATATAGTGCTAACCGATCTAGTCTCACTTCATGTGACAGTCCTGTTATCTCAGGACTCAGTCTGGTAAGCCTTCTTTGCACTCTTTCAATAGCTACAGCATCCTTCCTCAGATAAGGAGACTAAAACTGGGCACAATTGTGGACTCACCTAGGCCCTGTACA